CATCTCCTTTGAACGGCAAACTGTCAAGTCATTCACTATTGTCAGCAGACAAAGAAACAAGAAGATGCTTGCAATTGCAGAGGCTTGTGCAATTCGAGTTTATAAACGAGGTCTCTGTGTACAAAAAGAGATGGTCGTGACTCTGAATCTACCATGGTAATACGTTTAACTTATAATTCTACCTCTTATTATTACTATTATTATCATTATTCTTGATTCATTTGAAACTATCCTTAATCAGTAGGATTACCTTAACTCACTTCAACACTATTATTATTGTTATTATAACTATTACTATTGACATCACTCTGTTTGTAATTCTTGATATATTCTCTGTCTAATTGTTTATCTGAGTGATGTGATTGAAGCGTCATGCATTTTATCTTAATTTTAATCTCTCATACTCCTTTCCCCAACTTATCTATTTGAACATGACTTGGGGAACACTCGCACCTGTCTTTCTGCATGACTAATTCAATGTAGTTTATTTGTGCTTATCAGTCTTATATCTCCTAATGTAATTTCAGTAGTATATATATATCCGTGTATGTAGAGTATTCAGCAGCTGACGAGTTCTACCGAAATTTGATGAATCTATCATTAAATCCTGCTGTATTAACCACATTTGTTGCTTGTTTTAAATTCGTATCGGGAAATAAATGTTTGCAATTCGTATAGAATAGACACTGATTATATCATACCATTTTCAAACCAAAAAATAAATGACTAGGATTCTCTGCGATAACTTCATCATTAGGTTTTGCAGTTATATATGCATAATAGTGAACGAATGGCGATGGGCTGGCTCCCCATTGGGTCCCATTTTGGCAGATTTCTTTCTAAGTAAACTAGAAAATGGACCTTTGAACAACCATCTTATCAGAAAATTCTCAATATTATTGCCGGTATTATATGGATGACACACCTTTATTCTTTGTGATAATGATTAGGACAGGAACACAATTATAACTCAATTCAATGTGAAGTACATTCTGCTATGAAATTCATGTGCGAAGAGGAATCCCAAAGTAGAATTGATTGCCTTCCGAGATGTCCTTCTTACAAGAAAACTAGATGGTAGAGAAATTTGTATAGGAAAAGCGCATGGACACGACAGTATACACATTTTCATAGCTTCGTTCCTTTCAAGTACAAAAGAAATTTAGTAAGGACACTCAGCCACAAGGTTAGAGCTATATGCTCAGATGCGGTTATTTAAGATGAACCAAGGATCGTATATGGTACCTTGATTGAAAATAGCTATCCAGACAAATTCATCAGGAAACATATGACTAAGAAAGTAGAGAAGGACTATTCTCTATGTGTGAATAAGAAGCCTTTATATATATCATGGAAAATTCCCATTGTAACATACATATATCGGTCGTTCGACTCGAGTTTTGTCCAAGAGGGTGCAAGAACACTATCCTGCATGGTTACAAAGAGGTGGAAGTGGAACAATAAGAAGCGCGATCATTGAACATCTGGTCGATAATGATCACCCTATCTCTATAGCCTCCGCCTTCAAAGTCATCTACAAGGCAAAGAGTAACTTACTCAAATCCCTACGTACCCAACTCATCTGTATTGCTGAGGCTTTGGCTATCGAAACAAAAAGCCAGATCTCTGTATACAGAAAAAGTTCGTTCAACCCCTGCAACTCTCATGGTCTTAATCCTTCTTTACTTGAGTATGGTAATCCCCAATCATCCTTTAGGTCTACAAATTTTTCATTTTTACATTTTGTCTATTCAATTTGTATACTCTTGATATATGAATAAAACTTGGGCACTGTGGTAGAGTGTAATTCCATTATGGGTAAATTTTATTTTGATAAAGTCTCACAGTGTTATACAGTAATATTTACTGGATGATAAAGTTCCGAACACAATTTATTGTGGTTCATAATCATATCAATGGTAATCACACGACTTTGACACTTGAGTTTTATACTTTTCTTTGTTCTCTCCTATTTGTCGTAGGGGTAGTAGAATTTTCCAGATATCTGGGACAGGTGATGAATCATTCCTATTATCATATGTGCGTCGGTGGCACAGTGGTTAGGACTCTCGCCGACCATGCACATGGTCCGGGGTTCGATCCCCTGCCGGCGCACACCCGATATCTATGGTCAGCCTGAATTTGGGCTACCGATATCCATGCTGAAAATTCCACACTTGTACTGAAAATACGGTGTGGAATCAAGCTGTAAATCAAAAGAAAATTAAAAAAATATATGTAGTTGATTCGATAAACAAAGCTTCTGTTATCAATCTCTCCCTCCACCCTGTGACATTAGATTTTAAAACTGTCATCCTATCCCACCATCCTATTGTATGGTTGTGTGTAACTGCATGTAGTGCTATAGCTGAACTATTCTCTAGATTTTTTATCTTATTCGGGTCAACCAATCTAGATTTTGCTAAGTTTTTATGTTCAGCTAGTCTGACTACCCCTGTTCTACTAGTTTGACCTATGTATTTGACCTAACAATCATTGTACGCAGGGTATTAGATAAACTAAACTGTTTTGTTTTAAAGGTTCCACAGGATCCCTTAACCGAAAAGGCTTGTTTCTAATTGAGTTTGTGGGTGGTTTGAATGCCAGCCACTTTTATTCCTGCCAGCATTGTTAAGAATTCTGCGTAATGCTTCCGAGGTTCCTTCCTTGTATGGAATTACTGCTGATGATTTAGATCCCTTATTTTTGGTGTCGTCATTAATATTCTTTTCACTATTATTATTATTATTATCATTATTATCGTTGTAATTATTATTGTTATCACCATCGCTACTATCATTATTTATTTTATTTTTACATTTCCTTACATATTTCCTGACTAATTTATCCGGGTAATTATTAAGTTTCAAGGCTTCTTTTATGTGTATCAGTTCCTGTTTTAGATTTTCCTTGGTACTACTTAGTTTTTGTGCTCTGTCACTTAAACATTTCATCAATCCTATTTCTACTGACATAGGATGGGATGATCGGAAGTCCAAATATCTCTTCGAATGTGTGGGTTTCCTGTAAACACTAGTGTTTATCTTCCCATCTTCTTTTCTCTTCACGTTGCAATCTAACATTGGGAGCTCCCCTTCCTGATTTTCTAATTCATAAGTGAATTGAATTGCTTCAACCTTCGAATTGATGTGTTCGAAAAACCTATCTATATCTTGTGTTCTAAGTACAGTGAATGTGTCTTCTACAACTCGAACTTAGGACAAAAGTGTCACTTGAGGACATAATTCTGGGAGTACAGCTATGCCTGACTTCCACAGTATTTAAATTTCAAGGGAAAATATACAAACAAACTGAAGGAGTTGCCATGGGATCACTAATATCCCCAGTTGTAGCAGATATATTCATGGATAAGTGGGAAAGCATAGCGATTGAAACGTTCACCCCCATCCCAAAAGTATGGTGGAGGTATGTAGATGACACATTCACTGTACTTAGAAAACAAGATATAGATAGATTGTACAGATTGATGATAAATTCGTTGAAAAGAGTCTCTTCGCTGAATCATTTGTTTTGATTTTCTTTATATATATGACTGCAATTCAAGGGTGATATACCTAGCGAAATAATTACGAAGAAGTTAAGAAAATCAGTTCAAAGAACTTTTAATGTTGGCAAATGAAAACTCTCATTTTCTACACGACCGATGGTGATATCTAAATTAAAAAATGAAGTACCTAGACTAGCTGCATCTGTCTGTAGTAGAGAAGCAAGATGAGGAAGGTGACGTGAATACAGGAGAATGATGCTCAGGAAGGCTTCCTGTGCTTTTGGAAGTGTGTGGGTGGTTGTTACTTCCCGGCTGCCCACACCGTGGTAGTTGATTGATTCTTCAGGTACCTGAAACAGAGAGTGGGTTAGTGTTGCGTGACCTCAGAGCTCAAGGGACAACTGCTTGAGGCCGGTCACCCACGGACTGTATGAACTGGTTTCTTGGTTTGGTTCCGTATTAATAAACTTACCGCCGGTTACGGACCACCGTAGGTGGGGTGAGTCGGGATGTACAATTGTTGGGGTTGACCTTTTCTAACCCCCTCTCTCCGGAGTGGAGAGACAGCATCGGTGGTTGGAATGCTGTTCATCTGAGGGAAACACCTTACTGCGGCTGTTACACCCCTCAGACTCCCAGCATAGTGTAAGAAAGATTCTTACACAATCCCGGTAACTGCTTTTAGTTTAATCGCTTCCCTAACAACCTTCCTGGCATGGTAGGGCCTGCAGAAACATTGGTTCCAGCTACTGCAGCTTGTTGGGTCATTGCAATGTGCAAGCCCAGAGACCACCACGTCAAGGTAGCAGCTATCGGTCGGGAGCCGCATCTGATTGTATCTACCAATTCAACTGCGCTTGCTTAGCCAGTTATATTGGCCATTGCTCTAGGAACTTGATATTTCGTGCTCGCTCAGGAACATCTGCTTGTGTAGTTAAATAAAGATGTAGTAAAAACCGCTATCAACAGCTCGATATAAAACCACCTGGTCCAATTCAGCCACAAAGCAGCCAGCATTGAAGAATCCTTCTCTATCATCTACGGGGTACCAAAATAAATCGCCAAAAGCATCAAGGTACCACATACTCCAAACAGTAGAAGCTATCGCGATTCTCATGAAGCAACCGGTATTCTGTGTGCAGAAGAAACACGTCCAGCCAGCCACTACTACTGTCCTGGTCGGCCTTCAGTGGATACTATACATTCATGAATTTACATTATTATTATCTTTCCTAATTTCTCTGTCTGACATTCAGTTTATGGTTATGTTGATGCTATCGAAGTGTAATCCACTGATATTATTATTGATTCGATGTTAATGCTGTTAATAACACTAATTCATTCATTCATCCACTATTATGGATGGATATATAACTGTAGAACCTGATGATGAAGAGCAGGTTATCGAAAATGTGAATATTCCTTTGAAAAAATTTTAATGGGCAATTTTATTCAGTTAAAAAAAATAAGTAAATAAATAAATAGAGCTTACTTCAATTTTACAATAGTTTCTCGTAATTTTCCAGTTTCTTTACATAAATCCCCATTACCATAATACAATGAAATTTGTCTAAAATAGAAGACATAAAACCCATTTAAAGTGTTGAGATTATAAATTAAAATTCCATTAACACATTATTATTGGCTTCCGAGTTTGACCACGAATTGATATTAGTTAGAGAATCAAGTGAAAACCAGCATGGAGTACTGGACAGCTGTTTCATCCTAGTTTGGGAGTCATCGCAAGTACGCACCCACCCCATAGCGGGAAGTTTCGAACCCAGGACCTTTCGGTTACAATCAGGCAAGTATGTATACCATTCAACCACTGGGACCTGATTCAATGGCCAGCCCATGAATTCTAACTTCATCTCTTCTTGGATTCCGATCGGAGAATAGGGCTTTAGCAACATATCGCTATTTTATACTTCTGTCCTTTGCACTCTTACTTAATGAGCTTTCCTCATTACGCGATCTTCCCCCGATTACCTCGCAGCTAACCGACACATCGTTTACTTTCAATTCGGGTTCCATTTGAGGGCTTGGTGCGTAATGTCATCCAATGGTCTTCTCAGTGCATATCTAATCTGTCTTTAAAGTAGAATACTATTCAAGCATTTAATTTTCAATCGATCAGCTCAAAGTTCAAATCCCACCTGGCCTATACCACCAGCCTAAATGTGTAGGTAGTAACATCAGACCCCAATTACAATGAGTATGGATTATAATTTCCTACATGAGAAATTTAATCTGCGCAGCTAAGTTCTAATCATACCGATTGCTCCATTATAGATAAGATTTTATTTTGATCAATCACACAGTGTTGTTATGCACTAATACTAACTGATGACCATATTTCGAGCACAAACTATTGCCACTCATAATCATATCAAGGCACTCACCCACACAACTTTTTTCCTTCATTTATATACATGAGTGAAATTGATGATTAGACATTTGAATAAAAATCAGTATGAGATAATGTGCATTCAGAAATAATAACATGAGTGTTATTGATCAAATACAATCAGATGGGAAATAAGACGAGTGTTTTTTATAGTCAAAATAAATAACTTGTTAGAATGTTTTGATGTACATGAATTGAAATAGAATTTCAAGACTATTTATTATCCTCCTCCGATTTGACTGACTGGTGGTAATAATATCTTCCATATCTCTGGTATTTGTGTTGAGTCACTTCTAATGCGCATATGTTGGGTGTAGACTCGATGAACCAGGATTCAGTAATCAGTCTCTCGTTCTCCACCTATCTATATTACTTCTTAGAATCTTAACCCTCTCCCACCCACCCTATTGTGTGATTGTGTGTTAATGCATGCAGTGCAATGTAGTGCTGAGCTTTTTTCTAAATTACTTATCTTTTCGGGGTCAACCATTCTTATCTTAGCTAAATTCTTATATTCCAAAAATCTGATTATCCCCAACCTACTAGTTTGACCCATATAGTTGACCTCACAGTCATTGCAGGGTATTTTGTAAATTATATTATTTTGTTTAATTGGGTCCACGGGGTCTTTTAGCCTACAGAACTTGTCTCTAAGTGAGTTTGTAGGTTTGAATGCCACTCTAATTCCTGCTTTATTGAGAATCCTACGTAGAGAGAGTTTCAGATGTCCCTTCCTTATATAGTATGACAGTAGGATGCCTTATATTCTCTCTTATTTATGTTATCACTACTAGTTTCACAATTATTTTGATTTTGCTTTTGACCTTTTTTGATATTCCTAATGAATTTTATGGGATAGTTATTTAACATCAACCAGCTATTCTTCTATCTGTTTTATTTCATCATTTAGGTACTTTCTTGTGCTACTTAGTGCTTGAAACGTGGTCATCAGTTAATATTACTGTATAACAACACTGTGTGATTTATCAAAATAAAATCTTATCAATAATGGAGTTATACTCTACCAACACAGTGCCCAAGTTTTATACTTATATCAATACCGATTGCTCACACCTATATATAAAGTCAAGAATAAAAATTCACAATTTAACAAAGGTAGAATTGATAAAAATTTCATTACAGTTTCTCCTTCTTTTTTGTTCCTTTACGTTCCCAGTGGAACAAAGGGCTTCAGGCTACAAGCTTGAAGTCTTACTAGCAGTGGTATTCATTTTTACGGGATGGGGAGGCTAGCCGGCCTCATGCCCAATCTTTCCTCTTTGCCAGTCGTCTTATTACTGGCTTAGCGAGATTTGGGAGTGCGTCGGTGGACGGGGATCGAGCCCCGAACCACTTACGTGGTTTGCAAGCATTCTACCGCTGTGCCACCGCCGCACACAGTTTCTCCTTTAGAAGACAAGTTTATTCAAATCACAATATAAGATCTTATTCAATCAGTCAGAAGTATGTGGTTTCAAGCATTTATGCTTGCTTTCTTCATTGTCATTCATGATATCGAACAGATCAAATTTTGTGTGTGTGTATGTGATCTGAGTAATTTCGGTTTCCAAAGGAAACTGTGGTGGAAATTTCACCTCATTGAACTGTGTACTTTTCAAATTACTACTTCATTTGGAAATTGAGAACTTGATCTAAAGCGTTACCAGTTCACCCAACTGTTACTACTATTATTATTCCCTTGGGAATATACGGCTTCAACAACACATTTCTATTCTCCGCCGTCCTCTTCAGCTGCGTCCACGATTGGCCATAATATCTCATCTCCTCCTCCTCCTCCTCGTCACACGATTTCCTCCATTTCACCCTTGTATCGATGACGCACTCATCTCTTCCCATTGGGATTCCACTCGAGCGATGACTTGGTTAACGCGCGATGTCATTGAAAAGTCTCCTCAACGTTTACCCGATCCATCTCCATTTAACGCCAGGTTCTTGGTTGGTTTTTCGCCAGAGTTCCTTGTTGCTAATTCTTCCTCGCCTGATGGCCATTTGATCTTCAGTATGGAGACAGCGAAGTGGACAGCTGTTGATAAAAATCTGCTGTGAACTGTTGAAAATCCTTTTGGTGACAAGCAGTGCAACTTTCTGACACGTATAGAAGAACTGACTGACTGAATTAATATTGGTGTTGAAAATCCGAATCTTGTTCTGTATACCGACTGAGTGCAGAGGATTTCCAAACTGTTTTCGGGTTTTAATGAAGGCGTATCTTGCCTTCCCAATTCTGGTTGGTATTGACATCTTCATACGTTTCCACTACCTGTGGTTGAGACCGTGTTTCCCAGCCAGGTAAGTGAAGGAAGTAACCTCTGTCAAATCTCTCCCGTTGATGGTGATTGGTGCTGGTTGTTGTTGCTGTTGGCGGTGGTGGTTGGTCATTTTCATCACCTCCGTCTTCTCTATGTTCATCTGGAGTCCTGTCTTCGCCACCTACCAACTCCTTCAGTCAGTTTGTTGGTTTTGGTCTGTAAGTCTTCGAGTTTGTGTGATATTAGACATATATCATCTGCGAAATCCAGATCTTCTAATGTCTTCTTATCGGTCATCCAGAGTATTCCTGACTCCCTGCTCCCCACAGTCTGACGCATAATCCAGTCCATCACAATTAAGAATGTCATTGGTGATAGTAGGCAGACAGTCTTGTCTTACTCCTATATTCACTTTGAACGCCTCGCTGAGTTTTCCGTTGTGGATCACCTAACACGTACCATTATCATATGCTGTTGAATGAGGTTGATATAAGCTTAGGGCAGTACACGCCGTAGTGTTGAAGCAGTTTCCAGATTACTACTCGGTCAACACTGTCTGTCGAAGGCCTTCTCGAAGTCGCTGAAATTAAGGCAGAGATTCGACTACCATTCTATGCTTTGTTCGGTGACAATGCATAGAGTTCTAAGCAGTTAGCCACAAATCAGGTTGTTTTAATTGATACAGATCTTTGAGTTGAGTCAGACCGGACAAACTATCAATCAGCTCGACCCTGAACAGGTGAAACGGTCGCCCAGTGTTTATATCCCTTCGATAATCCGTTTGCCTACCGAGCACTACTGGTTAATGTGAGTAGTTTAGAACTACTCCACTTCAATCAAGCCCAGTAAAGCATAATTTTACGATTAAAAGTTGTTCCACTCTCATCTTAGAAATCGTTAAACCTGATTAAATTAGGTAGGACAAGGTGAACCAATTTACTTCATTACACTGTCTCGAAGATAGTACAAGGAAAAGTCAATTAGTAAAGAATTTAACCGTTTCGATATCAATAAATAGGGAGAAAAATAAAATACACAAATAGCAATATATTATTAATATCGGCGCGTCATTGATAGCCGCACATGGTAAGGATTTGATTCTTAGCCGATGCACTTCTAAATCTCCTCTAGTTTAACTAGCCGAAAGTACGTCGAGGAATGATGGAGGCTTGGGTGTGAGACTATCAACCTCATCGCAAAAAATGGAAAACCATGCTACGGCCAATGAAACTTTGAAGCTCTAGAGACCTGTGTTCCATATGGAACTCAAAGGAATGGATAAAAAATATTGTCACATACATATATATGAGATTGATGCAATAACTTCAGAGTCCAACACAATTATTATTATTGTTTCCTTTAATTCCTAGAGGAACATTGGGCCTCAGCTGCACGTCTCCATTGCGTTCGGTTCTCTGCTAGAATCTTCACCTGGCTCCACGTCTGTCCACATCCTTTCATCTCCTCTTCATATGACCTCCTCCAAGTAACCCTAACACTGACGACCAATTCGCCGCTTCCCTTTCGGGTTCCACTCGAGGGCTTGTCTAGTGATATTACTTGACGGTTTCCTCAGAGTATGGCCATTCCATCTCCATTTCTTCCTGCCTATTTGTTTCACAATTGGTTCCTGCTCTGTTGGTTCGCTCCCAGAGATCTCTGTTGCTGATGTTTTCTGGCCATCTGATGTTGAATATTGAGCGAAGACAACTGCTAATGAAGGTCTGTAGTTTGTTTGAGATGCTGTTTATGACGCGCCAAGTCTCTGATCCGTATACTAAGTAGCACTGACTTCACATTGGAGTTGAAAATCCGGATGTTATTTTTGATGCTGAGTACTGTTGACCTCCACACAGACTTGAGAATAGTGAAAGCTTGTCTTGCTTTTCCGAT